ACGCACACACACACACACACACACACACACACACACATACACACACACACACACACACACACATATATATATATATATATTATATATTATATATATATATATATATATATATACACACATAAAGATAGATAGATAGATAGATAGATTGATAGATAGGTAGATACACAGATATATAGACTTCTGTAGACATATATATATATATATATATATATATATGTGTTGTGTGTGTGTGTGTGTGTGTGTGTGTGTGTGTGTGTGTGTGTGTGTGTGTGTGTGTGTGTGTGTGTGTGTGTGTGTGTGTGTGTGTGTGTGTGTGTGTGTGTGTGTGTGTGTGTGTGTGTGTGTGTGTGTGTGTGTGTGTGTGTGTGTGTGTGTGTGTGTGTGTGTGTGTGTGTGTGTATGTATATGTGTGGTGTGTGTGTGTGTGTGTGTGTGCGTGTTTGTGTGTTATTACATAGTTCATTAGGGAGAAGAAAGCTCGCGTGTGTGTGTGTGTGTGTGTGTGTGTGTGTGTGTGTGTGTGTGTGTGTGTGTGTGTGTGTGTGTGTGTGTGTGTGTGTGTGTGTGTGTGTGTGTGTGTTGTGTGTGTGTGCGTTTATATATATATATTATATATATATAATATATTAATATATATTACATATATATATACATATATATATGTATATATATATATATATATATATATATATATATATATATATATGTGTATAGAAATTATATATATGTAAATATATATATATATATATATATATATATATATATATATATATATATATATATATACGCACATACACGCACATATATTAGTACCGAATTCCGGCGTATTAGACGCATTTTATTTTTAAATGGATGAAAAAGATGCCCTACAGTCGTATTACGGATGGGAGACGGAAACCCCGGATGAGCATACTAAGCAAGTTTAGTAGACAGAAATTTTTGCGAAGCTACGTTGCTTTCAAATCGTCTTCGTGTATTTCTAATGTGTGTTCATATCGGTTGTGAAGCTTCGAGCACCACGTCGACGCATGACTCAGTCAACCTGTCGGCGAATTTTTGAAATATTCTTGGAATCCCGAGGCTCCCATCCTCACCCAGAAGAGTTGACAGTTCGTCACGATCAAAATTCGCTTATATTGTAAGTTTTTCTTTAAAACCTTCCAGCTCTTACGGGAGATGGTTATATTCACCAAACGGTCCTTGCATTCATTTCGTTTCATCATTTAGTGCTAGAGTTGGCATTAATGGGTGTTATTCTTCCTCCTCAAGACACCACGAAGTAAGTCCCCCATGGATGCAGCTACTGAGTGATACCGACACTTATTTGAAAAAAGAGCGCGGCTGCATCTTTTCCACTGAGAATATTCACGTAGCTTCCGTTCGTCCGCCGCATCGTGTGTGAAGCGTAATTTCGCGCCCGGAATCAGGATCACATTACTTACCTCCTTCTCCAGCATACATAATCCACACCTGATGTATGTCTTGTATCATTTAACGCGAATGTGTTACCTTTATGTGTGTTTGTTTGGGACGTTTGTTCATCTAAGTAAAGAATGCATTTAGAAATACGTACGGAATTCTTTCTATTTCGTATTCTATATAATTTTAGGTTAAACTTCCACCTTCCTGTCAGTCATTTGCAATATGTAAATGACAAATGTGTGTAAATGTGTGCGTGTGTGGTCAGGGCTGACCGCTTATCCTTATCAATATTTCTGCCGTTCTCGAAACATTATATGATAAAGAAAACGGATATAAATAATGAAATGGAACCATACACTGTTATAAACGGATGAATAGTTTATTACAGTAACAGTGTGTAAGGTCAGATAATGATTATTATTGGATCTCTTGCATTTACTTTTTTGTACATTGCGCTGCATAAAACAATAAATAATAGCTACGTAATTCGGCTAATAATGTAACATTCTTCAACATGCAATGCACTCGTACTTCTTTACAGAAAATGTATTAGATTTATACCTTAAGAAAATGCAACAGTGAACCTGTAAATTCGATTCAACTAAAAAGTATACGACTATTCATAGTGAGCGTGTTGCATGGCTGAAGGTGTAAAGTACTGAATGGGAATGTGTCTCTGCCTTTGGTGATGTCCAGCTGGAAGACCCAGTTGATGTGGGATAGGATGAAATTTCCGCCGTGATAACGTTCGGTCTGCCACATTATATCAGTTTATATTAAGATATTTTAATATTGCTTTAAATACTTTCATTTGCAGCAAACCTTTTGTAGTCATATAAATAAAAAATACAGCCATCGGAAAAAAAATCCGGTGACAATTCCATCCGTCGGTCGTCTTTTGTTTACGTTTAGCAGACGAATTTTCCGTTGAATTCCAGGCCAAGTTTTGGTCTGTCGCGGTAACACAAAACATCACCAGAAATACGTTTCACGTCCAGTATAACAATTTTCTTTTCCAAAAATATAAACGCTTATACAGATGATCTAAGAGGATCCAATTTAATTCAGTTTCTTTTGTATGTGACAATAAAGTT